AGAGGTCGCAGATGCCCATGAAACCCCCTAAGCAGAATCTGACGTCTTCAAACCGCCTCTGTTCAAAACGCCGTCACGATCAGCTCCAAAAACATACGAGGCTGAAACTTTGACAGCGGTTAGCCTTAGGTGTCTCCTTTCCAACGGTATATTTCTTGCTATTATCAGAGGTGTGTGCACTACACAGTGAGCGAAAACGTAAGCTCGGCTGAAAAACGTGTAGTCTCATTGATGAAAGGAAGAGGTGAGTACAACATTGCCTAGGGGACTCATAAGGGGTTGGGTCATCCTGGGAACTCAGAGAATGTTGAGTCCTAGGGAAGAAAGGCTAGAGAAGGATGGGAAACGTCCTAGCTAGGTCAGCAAAGCCAACCACACATGGATGTTCAGAGCTGTACTCAAGGCAACCAATTGTGAGTTAAGCCAACCATGAGTCAGCTTGTCTTCCCACTTGCACCCTCTTGCAAGCTGGTTCCAGGAAGACCACACTTCTCAAAAGGAGGGCTGTAGAGTCCCACTTGACCACCTCTACTTCTTGTCTCATTCTCCGTCCCTGCACCATTGGCATGACAACAATGAAAGGGTGGCAAGGGAAATGCTGCCAACAGTGCACCATGACTACGGAACAGTGCATTTCGGCAGCTGTCACGCAATGCTCACATGTTGGACCGTTCTGAAACTTGGTGAAAACCTGCACAGCGGGGAATAGAACTGCCAGACCGAATTTCAGACCAATCAGAGCTTGGTAGACGAGTCAGCAGCCGAAATGGTGAACTCGGGTGTTACCAAAAAGGAGTAACACACACTTCCGGGATGCCATAAATCTTGAAACATAAAATGTTGTCACGCCTTGGTAACTGCTTCACAAACTCTGAAACTTTGAGGGTTTGAAGAACACATGTTGAACAACCTCCCCACAAAATTCCAGAAGCTGAGCAGGCTTGTAGGCCGAATGGGAGTGCGATGACCGTGCCACTGTAATGTGTTGGCACAACAAGGTGGGTGCCTGTGGACCTATGAGATGCCATCACTGCCTCCTCAGCTGCGATCCAGTATGGGAGGTAAGGTCTTGCAACTGCCTTCGCCTCCGCATCTGGATCCTCCTCAGGGGCAAGAAGCATGGCGCAGAGATGAGGAACAGTGGTCACAAGGAAACCGAGCTCGAACTGCCTATCCTCCAAGCCCTTTAGGGGAAAGACGAGAACACCCCCATTGGACGGAGAACGAGCATGGCCATTTACCAGGTGAGAGGCGTACTCAAGGTGGTGGGACAAGGCAAAGTCAGCGATAGTGGTAACAAGAGCCGATAGAGACAGCAGGGGAGCAATACGTGCGACAAAACACGGGCGACAAGAGGACAAGAGGCACGGAGATAGTCAGAGAACGAGTCTTGAGACACAGTATGGGACGATTCATGAGGCTATGGAAGGACTGGAGGAGGTGGAACACGAGAGCGGAGAACAAGGTAAAACGGGTTGTCGGCATGGTAACGGGACCAACGAGGCTTTGGAGACACAACTCGACTGAGAGGAGTACGACGAGACCAGGGGGAATAAGAGAGGGGGGGGGAGATGGTAGGGTACCATGAACAATGCATGCAGGCGCTGAGTCAGGTAGGTCTCTCATTCACTGTTGCTCCACCTCCTCTGGCAGCTGCTTCTACGGCACCTGCTGTTGCGGCACTTGCCCCTGCTGCTCCTCCTGTTGCTGCGGCTGTGGCTCCTCCTCTACCCTCACCTGCTGCGGCTGCAGCTGCACCTACTGCTGCAGCTGCAGCTGCACTTACTGCTGTGGCCGTGGGTCATCCTCTACCCTCCCCGCCTGCAGCTCTAATCTACAACAGACATATCCCACAAAGCGGATCCACGAGTGCAAGCAAGCGGGGCCCAATTCGGAGCGGGGCCAAGGCTGAACTGTACGAGGACGCAGACGGTAAGCTACGCAAAGCACTGACCCGGAGCATGGAAACAGCAACAGATCCAACCGCAGGACCGCCCAACTGAACCACGTACAGGCATGGAGGCGGAGTGAGACCACGCGACGCCGAGCTGGTCGGATCACCACCACGACCAGCGCTCTCTGGTCCACTAGTTCCCCACTGCTGAGGCTGCTGCTGCACATGCCGCTGAACCTGCTGTTGTGGTTGTCCCTGCTACTCCGACTGTCCCGAATGTGGCTGCTGCTGCTGGGACTGCTATCGCCGTAGCACCATGTACCACGTGGCCGCACCAGCACCCCCTCCAGACGGGCCTGCAGGCCCAGGGCCGCTTCCAGTGTCGCATTCACTGGATGCACTAGCGTCACCAAGGACTCCACCACCCCTACCACCAATACCAGTGTCGCCACCTTTCCCCCCTTTCTTACCTCCCCTACCCTTGGAATACCCACCCACGGTGGACATGGCCGCAGTCTTCACAATAGTTGGATACGCAGTAGAGGCAAGAGAAGCAATGAAGGTGGGAAGCTGTGGGACAGTGCACCCATGAAAGAGTGGGGGAATTACAGTGCCAAAGGCAGAGGCAACGGAGCAGGTGTTGCTCTCTATGCCCTTGAGAGCGGTCTCAAGGACATCGATGGTGAGCTCAATGGGGTAATTCCAAAGAAGCTCGTCCTAGACAAGTCCAAGGCCGTTAGGGAGGCTAGTGACGATGAAGTGAATAGTGATTGCCATGGGCGAAGGGGGGGGGGGAAGTGCAAGCAGAGCCTCAGTACAAGCAACACGGTAGCTGACGTCTAGCAAGCGCAAGTGAGTGATAAGATCAGCAGCGCGATCAAACGTGCCTAGGTAAAAAGAGAAATGGAAGAAAGAGGCGACCAAGAGAGGCGGATGTGGGAGTTGAATAGGTTGTCTTAATTGTAGCGAGAAGGTCCTTGGCAAATCGAGCTTGAGAGAAGTGAGCCTCCTCAGTCTCAGAGAGAAGGCTGTCGAGGGCAATGCAGGCCGCAGGGTTTCGCGACTGCCACACCGAACGAGCTGTATGGGCCTTATCAAAGAGCGTCTGGGCTGCCTCATCAGGCTCAGCACCCAGGGCAGCAGGGGGGGGAGGCTCAGATATGTCACCAGAAGCGTGCGCTCATAGTGTTTCATTGTCTTGGCGCTGGCTCGTGATAAACCGCTCTGCACCAATGAGACTGGAGGGGAACTTTTTGGCTCTACCCTCAGCATGAAAACGCAGTACGTGAGGGGCCGCCATAACGAGGGACCTACCGGCCTAGAACCACAAGGCTAGAGGTGTACAGTGCTCAAAGAGACAAGGCGAATAATGGCTTGATCTAGTAACGACCTAAGCTAGAGTGATTAGGCTAGAAAGAGCCGAAACGGGGAATGAGCAAGGCAAGAGAGGCAAGGCTAGGGACACTACTTATAAAACGGACCTAATTCACGATTGTAAAGTGTATAGCGGCTGCCAGCCATTGCGGGTGGAACGCCAGTGGTAGTAGATGCTGGAAGGTGATGCACGAGCGGCAAGGCGTGGTTGGGTGCGATCTAGTGTGGTGGGGAGCAGTTAGGTATGGTTCAGTGCGATGGAGTGCATTCGGGAGAAGTGGGAAGCTGTGGAGTGCGGTGGAGTGCGGTCAGACATGTGCTGTTTGTGCATGGTTCCTAGTGCATAGGCAGCTCCGCGTGGGGCTGCTGGTGGAGCTGCATGTGCGCCTGCAAAGGAATGCGTGGCTGCATGGGCGTGTAGGCTACTTCTGTGCGCGCGGTAGCTGCTGCGCGGTTGTTGCTACTGCTGCTACGCGAGCTACGGCTGTTGCACGGCCGGTAGCTGTTGCGCGTGCTGACGCTACTATGCGCGCATGATGGGCGTACGTGCGGACGGCAGTTGCAGTGCGCGGCTGCTGTTCGTGGTGCTGGCACACGTGCAGCGCGTGCACGTGCACTTTTGCGTATGCGCAGCTTCTCGAACATGCGGATCTACGTGCTAGTGGCGCGGCCACGTGCAATTGGCACGAGGGTACGGGACGAGGTGGGGCGTGGATGGGTGAGGGGCGTGACGGGTATGAGGCAGGCTAGGGGCGGGGCCTGCGAACGGGCAGGGTGCGGCCTGCTAAGGTCACGGTGCACGACGTGCTAAGGGGCGGGGCGAGTCGTTTCTAGGGTAGGAACTCACCTACTCATGATACCATCTTAAGTACAAACTAACATAGGTAGCGTGAGTAATGGAGGTCAAAGTGTCAAGGGATTTTTTGTATCCCCTAACATGCAAGCCATTACAGCCTATATACTAATAAAAAACTAGTTTGACATGAACCTTGATCATAGTGAATGTAAATAACGATTTTAATTTAAAATAAACATTACTCGCAAACATATAGATCCTAGCTAGCCATGTACTCTAGGGGGTACATTCCCTTATTACAGGTAGTACAGGCATTGCTACAGTAGCACTAACTATTGTGATAACCTTCGATACGGTTGCGGAAGTAGGTCGCAACCTCTTGGTCCAGGTCGGTCAACGGTCGCGACAGTTGACCTGCGACTGTTGACATGCGTGCCCTTTATCGGCTAATGAGGTGGTGATACGTGTTGTTGCTGTCAAACATTATATATTGCTCTAGGCTATATTGGGGAACTCAGAAGAGAGTACAACCCATTAGGGTTCATATTTGTACCCTGAATTCCCATAGTCAATCACATTGCTGCAGTTTCTTCTCAACATGGTATAGAGCGGTTAGGTCCTAAGGACCGCCCTTTAGAACCTCTCTTTTTCTTCCGGCCCATCATTAACACTGCTTTTTCCGCTGCACATGGCGCACCCCTAGCGTGCGCTTCCTCGCTGCCCTTCACGCGCCTCTAGTGCACGCCGTTTTTTCTGGCCGGAGCGCACCCCTAGCGTGCGCGCCTTCGCTGCCAGTCGCACGCCCCTAGCGTATGCCCATTTTCTGCCCATCCCGCCCCCCTTGCACTACCCGCGAGTTGCCCAGCCGCACTGCCTGCGCGCTACTTTGCCACGCTGCCCACGTGCTGCCCTGTCGCGCGCCTTGCCTACTGGGCGATGAGCCTGCGCACTGCCCTGCCGTGCGCTCGAGCTACCAGCCCTCCGCTGCCCTTATTGCTGCCTGTGCTGCGGCTCTACCGCACGCGCTGCTGCCTGCTGTGGCGCGCCGCCCTCCAGCGAACTGCCCTGCGCGCTGCCCTGCTGCCCCGCCCGAGCATTGCTGCTTGTGTTACTGCTGCCCTACCCTACTACGCACCCGAGCCGTCCGCTGGCCGCTGCCTTAACTGCCACCCGCGCTTCAATCTGGTCGCCCGCACTGCCGCTTGCGTTGCCTTGCACTGCCGCCTGCGCTGCTTTGCGCCTGCTGCCCTGAGGTGGCTGCAAAATGCAAGCGCGGCAATGGTGTCGCGTGCTAACCACTGTGTACTAGCTATTCGGTCAGCCTTATATTTCTGGTGTGCTTCTACAGGCGCAGTAGGGGCAGGGGCAGTCGAAGTGAGCGGGGCCAGGAAGGAGCCTGAGGTGTGCTCAAAGAGAGATATGTCATCTCTAGTAACACTAAGCATGTACAGGTGAAGCCCATCAAGGCACTATTCGTAATCCATAGGGCTACCCTCGGCGTCAAACTCAAGGATTGTGGGTGTCGCCATAGTGAGTAGTAGAAGAAGTAGTGCTAGGATCGAAAGGCAGTGCTGGGCCTGAGCGGCGCAGATAGGCTAAGCGGCTTGGCAGGGCAGCCATTGCACCCACTTTCACCAGCTAAAAATTGTCAAAGAGCTCTATGACGCTATAGTGAAGCGCTATTCCTCCCCCTCCTCTGCCGTCCTAGGCCTCTTGCTACTGCCGTACCTCTCCCTACTATCGCTGACCTCATGACTCACCTGCGCTCCAGTGACCCTCGCTACTGTGCTGCTCTCACGCCAGCGTTCCTGGCTGAGAACCCCCCCCCTCCCTCCCCAATGTACATCACTCTCTACTTCCTAGTGACCCGTCTCCTTGACTCCCTTCGCCGCGTCCAAGACCACTTCCTCTCTCTCGACCCCACCGAGCTCACCCTAGCCTCATTTGAGTCTAAGCCCTTGGAGGCTGAGACCAGTGACCACAATGTAGCTGCCTCCCGTGGTACTCCACGCACCTCTTTCTTTAAGGGGTGTGCTCCTTCCCTCCTCGCGCCTTCTGTCAACTCTACTGCTACTGTTGACTTCCTCAGTGCTGAGGAGGCCGGTGCGGTGTCTGCTCCTAGCGGGAGGCGCAACAAGGGTGGACATCAGAAGGGCAAGGGTGGTGGGCTTGGCGGTGGGGGTGGTGGTGGCGGGGGTGGTGGTGGTGGCGGTAGTGGGGGCGGTGGTGGTGCTGGTAGTGGGGGTGGTGGAGGTGGTGGTGGCGGGGGTGGTGGGGGTGGCGGGGGTGGTGGGGGTGGCAGGGGTGGTGGGAAATTTGGGGTGGTGGATGTTGCTCGGATGGTAGTCGTAGTGGAGCTAGCGGGGGTAGCGGTCAGTGGGCTTCGTCTGGGTGCACACCTAGTGGAGGCGGAGGCTCTGGGGGTGGACAGCAGCAGCACTGGCGTCGGCAAGAGACCCTCTTGCCGCAGCAGCTGCGTGAGTGGGTGGTTCAGCGAGGTGGCCCCGGAGGAGAAGTTCGCTGCACCTATGTCAGGTGCACGGGTCCCCGCGCAGGAGACGTCTGCGGCATGTAGGGCGACAGTGAGGTTCGCTCCTTTTTCTGCCTTGAGGACGCTTTTCGCGAGGAGTTTGGTGAGAAGACATACGTACCGAACTGGTTAGGATTGCTCAAGATGTGTTTCCTCTAGAGTGGGACCAGATCCTTGCTGGGATGCATGCTATAAATGCTTCTTCTACTAGTGTTGAGGGTGACTATTACTCGGCTGTGCCTAGCTCTGGCGGTGTAGTGGCTGCTAGTGTAGGTGCCTACGAGTCCACTAGCATAGCTACAGTTCCAATGGAGGTTCTGCACACCTTCATGCTGGACTCCGACACATCTTGCTGCTACTTCCGTGATTGCACCACAGTTAGACCGCTCACAACACCTATCCATATCACTTTGGCTGACCCCTCGTTGGGGGTGGGCTTGCCCTTGGCAGTGACGTCCTTAAGGACATGCAATTTTAGCTCGAGTGCATCGCGACTCTTGTACCTCATCTTGCTGCCATGCTGCTTTGCCCTGAGGGAGACCCGGATGCACTGGACATCCCGACCTCGCGCTCCTACGCAAAGACGATTCAGGGTAAGTACTCCTCTTAGAGGCAGACATCCATTGATGCAGATATGGCATCATGGAAGTCCACAGGCGCCTACATCGAACAAAGTCGATCGCACGTGGATTTTAAGGGTGAAGCGGCTACCAGGTTCTTCGCCTGTCTTCAAGGCGTGTTACGTTGCTCAAGGCTTTAGTCAGTGACAGGGAGTTGTCTTGATCCAGACCTTCTCCCCCACCCTGCAGATGACCACTCTTTGGGTGCTACTTAACGTTGCAGCACAGCGTGACTACGAGCTCCACTCGCTTGACTTCTACACAACCTTCTTGTAAAACAACCTTGATGAGGAGATCTGGCTACGCCGCCCAGCTTGCTTCATTGGGTCGTTTCCAAAGGGGGCCCAGTGGAGCCTCCGGCAGCCAGTCTACGGTCTCCGCCAGGCGCCCCATGAGTGGCACAACACACTGAGGATGATACTTGCAGCTCTTGGGTTTGCTCCTTCGAATGCTGACCCGTCGTTGTTTTTGCACACCGACCCTTCTCTGCCGTTGTTTTTCTGCATCCTCGTGTATGTTGACGACTTGGTCTTTGCTACTGCTAACATTGAGGCATTTATACTTGTTAAGCGGCGCACTTGCATTGACCTTGGCAAGCAGCGAACCTATCTTGGCTTGCAGATTACCTGGGATAGAGCAGCGCGCACCATCACTCTAACTCAGTCACGCTTGGTGCAGCAGGACCTTTAGCGCTTCCGCCTTCCGTTTTCCTCGCCACAGTCCACTCGCTCTTAGCTCCACCTTTGGACGAGTCCGTAGAGCAGAGTGGTATCTAGAGCTTGTGGGTTGCCTCATGTACTTGTTGACTTGTACTCCGCCTGACCTCGCGTACCCTCTCAGCATCCTAGCGCGCTTCGTTGCTCCCGGTAGACACCGAACACAGCACTGGACCGCTGCTAAGAGGGTGTTGCGTTACATGGCCAGTACATCAAGCATGAGGCTTGTGCTTGGAGGAGGGGGCTGAGTTGTCCTCACAGGTCACTCAAACGCTTCTTGGGCTACGACTAGAAGACTCAGCGGTCGTCACATGGTTACACTTTCAGTCTCGGCTCTAGTTTTATCTCCTGGAGGTCTACCCGCTCGTCTTTTGTACTCTGCTCCCCGTTGTGAGGCTGAGATCTATGCGGAGGCCATGGCTGTACAAGAGTTACGTTGGCTGACCTACTTGCTGTCGGACTTGGGTGAGCGGCCTCGTTCTCCTTCGATTCTTTACGTAGACAACAAGCCATGATTGCCTTGTGTCGAGAGCAAAGACTGGAGCACAGAACGGAGCACATTGTGTTTCGTTACTACCTTGCACGAGAGTTACAGCAGCGTGGTCAGCTTCGTCTTGCTTACGTGGCCTCAAAGGCTAGCATTGTTGATATCTTCACCAAGGCCCTCGATTCAGGCAATCATCAGTGTTTCTTAAACACTGCTCTTGGGTTTGTGCCCACTGTGCCTCACGTGCTTGTCTCTTGATCTCGCCTTGCACTTATTGTACACTGAAATGTATGTTTATACCTACATGTTTACACTTGCTAGGTTATACTCAGTGTACCGTTTTGGGTATTATAACTCTGCATGTGAGCTGGCCTTATGCTCAAACTGTATGGTGATCTTGAGATCCAACCTGAACTTTGTTTTGATTCTTCTCTTGACTGGTCTTGTGACCGTTTGCTGTCCCCCACTTAGTCGTGGGGGTGTGTCAAACATCATATATTGCTATAGGCTATATTGGGGTAATCAGCACCTTCTGGATTGCTAAAAGCAATTCTAGCCTTACTCCAACACATCCCCGCCTTGCTCAGATCACTCGCTATATCTTGCACAAGTCTTCACATATATGGCATAGTTGTAGCTTTTTCATGTTGTATTTGTGCACACTGTTATAAGTTGGAAAACAGAGCTGCGCGGAAAATGAATATCGAAGCTGTGACTCAATTAATTGATAATGCAATGAAGGCACGTAATAATATAGTGATTGCCCTAGCTAGCAAGAAACCTCGGGAAAACGAGGTTGGGTGCAGGTTTGGTGAAGGGAAAACCGAAGGCGACGCGAGGTAGCCTCGGTATTGTGGATGTCGGCCGAACGTGCGGAGTCCAAAAGTTTTGGGGTTTCTACGTGTAGCAGTCAACCTCGATAAGGAAAGATACATTTCCATACTCACATACCTTTTTTCATAGTGTTACGGATGCAATGGAACGAGATAGCAAAGATACAAAGTATGAGCGAAGGAGTGAGCGAATAGTTATGTGCGAAAACATGCAATGGTTGTGCGGTGCGTGCGAGCTATTTAGTGCAAGGCTGGCATCGAGGTTCGTGTTGAAATCACTAGCTAGGTGAGGAATGAAATGTGGATTAGGTAAGAGGGAGGGGGTACAAGGATGTCGAGAGAGTTGGGTTGTACCCTCTTAGGTGTGACCCTACACAACCTAGAGTAAGAACATGACAATATGTTTTGACACACCCCCATAGGAGAAGTAGGGGATAGCCAAACCTAACAGTGGTCACAAGACCAGTAAAGCAAGAGAAAAAACAAGGCAAAGCCCAAGGTGGATCTCAAGGACACCACACAATCTGAGCACAAGCAAGCGGCCACAAGGCCAGTTGACTTGCAGATTTAAAATAGCAAGGCAGTACACCGATTACAACCTAGCAAAAGTAAACATGCAGGTATAAAGATATATATAGCAGTGTACAACAAGAGCAAGTCAAGCAGCCAACAGGTGAGGCAGAGTGGGCACAAGCCCAAGAGCAGTGCAGAAACGCTGATGATCACTAGCCCCAAGGGCCTTGGTGAAGACATCAGCAGTGTTGGCCCGAGAGGCCACGCAAGCAAGGCGCAGCTGACCACGCTGCTGCAACTCACGCGCAAGGAAGTAGTGCAGAGCAATTTGCTTTGTTCTGTGCTCCAGTCTCTGCTTGCGACACAAGGCAAGCATTGCCTTGTTGTCGACGTACAGAACTGGAGGAGAACGAGGCCGCTCCCCCAAGTCGGTCAGCAGGTAGGTCAGCCAACGGAGCTCCTGTGCAGCCATGGCCCCAGCGTAGATCGCGGCCTCACAACTGGAACCAAGCACAGAAGAAGAACAAGTGGACCTCCACGAGACAGACTGAAAGTGTCGCCCTGTGACGAACGCTGAGTCGCCTGGTCGTCGGCCCAAGAGGCGTTGACCTTTGTCACTATCCCAACCTCCACAATCCACCTCAACCCAACTTGGCCACACTTGCCAACCTGGTTTGGTTTCTCCCAACCATTTGGCAGCAACTACAGTAGAAAATACGAATTTCCCAACCCCCAAAAGTCTGTACCCCATATTGAGTCAACCCCACAACTTCCCACAGTTGCCACAATCAAATATGAAAAGCATGCAAACTCCAACGTTCGTAACTTTCTTGTTCGTGCTCCGATTGAAGCAATACTTGGTTCGTCGGAAAGCTCTTGAGCACATGAGTCACTTCAGATATCTGCTCAAGTCAAATAACATTCACACACACTCAGAAAAACCAAACCGCATAAAACACAAATTCTTGCACACACTCACACCACGCATGCAACGCACGAACATATGATGGGAGGCAGACAGACATGAATGCATATGATTGCATCACACAACAGTGACATGGGAGTGGAGTTAGGGGTGAAGCAGTTAGGGTGTGTGTCAAGGGTGTGGGTCAGTTGGAGGAGGTTGTGTGGAGGTAGCTGTCGTGTTGTCTGCAGCACCTGTAGTCCGTCGCCCTTGCTTCGGTTGCCAGTGAGCCTGTTGCACCAGTTGCCAGTGGGTCCGTTGCTCCTGCCGCTCGTCTTAGCCGCGGAGCCAGTCACTCCAGTAGTCCATCGCCCTTACTTCGGTAGCCACTGAGTCAGCCGCTCCTGTGCCCGTGCCTCTGCACCTTCAGTCGTTGCCTCCCATCTTCTCTCCTTCTACAGTTCCTCCTCCTCCTCACTTGCCCGCTGTGATTACCTCTAGCTGTGCTTATTATTGTGAACTCCTGCTCATTGTGCTGATTACACCCCACTTTGGCTATGGGGGTGTGTCAGAATGTTATTATCTAGCCTGTAGTGGGGTGCTCTATAGCGAGTACAACCCTGTTAGGGTTTGCTATATGTTTCCCAACTACTGCTAGTGAAAACCCCTCCTTTCTTCATTCCTCGTTATTCTCACATAGGGGCACTGAGGTGGAAGTCGACGTTGCCGATCACGAACATCACGGGTTTAGATTTCATCTTGGGGCAAGATTTCTTAAAGCGGTTCAACCCCGAGATTGACTTGGTCAACCGGAAGCATGCATCTACAACAATGGGAAACGACTGGAGCTGAGAAGCTGGACGGATACAGGGAACGTTCATGAAACGACACTGGCACGTTCGAACAGATGGTGAACGAGAGCAATACGGGTTACTTAGCACTAATTATGGCAGCAGCGGAGGAGGAGAAGCCGAACGCAGAGCTACCTGCAGTAGTGAAGGAGGTGTTGGAGCAGTACAAAGACATCATGCCAGACGACCTACCTGCAGGAGTACCTCCA